AAAAAAAAAAAAAAAAAAAACCTTCCACAAACCCAGACCAGCGAAACCTGGCCGTGTTGTGACTCACAGTTTGCAGATGTCTGTGAAGTTGACGAAGGAGGTTTTCTTGGTTCCCACTCGGACCACCTGAGGAGGCTTCATCACAAACTTCCTCTTCTCTCCGGCCACCATGTCGGGGTTCTTCTCCCTCATGATGTTAAAGACTCTGTTTAAGAGCTGAGGCAGAAACGTGCAGGTTCGTCAGGGTCTTTAACGTTTGAGAAGTGTCTTTTTAAAAATGTTTCTCGTGCTTTCGTACCTCGTCGTAGGTGTAGTCTCTTTCTGAGCCGGCCCACGCCGGTCCCGTGGAGGGACTGAACGAGATTCCGTCATTGTTTTTGCTCTCCTCATCCTCCTGAGCTGCTAACGTTAACACACAAACACCGTTGTTACACACGCACCTGCATCCCGTTTAAAAAAATTAATAATAATAATAATAATAAAAATGTTTTAATTTCTACCGTCGTCTTTCTCCAACAACTCTCCCTCGTCAAAATCCACTTTCTTCTGCTTCTTCTTCTTGGTGGGGAGCWTCAAATCCAAGTTGTCGTCCTCCTGCACCTCCGACTGCTCTCCTTCGATTTTCAGCTCCTGGTTTAAACCAGAAACAGTGAAAAATGGCGGCTGCCAACAGTGTGAGTAATAACACAAAGAGGAGAACTTACCTTTAACCCCTCCTCTACCTCGTTATCAAATACTTTTTTAGGTTTCTTCTTCTTTTTTTTCTGGTTGAGGAAGTTCAGGTCATTCAAATCGTCTGACGTCTCTAGAAAGTTTAACCAAAACAAAAAAGCGTCAGGGTTAATGCTGTTACAGAGATGACGTGCAGGACGAGAGGAAATGGAAACGTTTGGTTTCCTTCTAACCTTTTTTCCTGCCCTCGTCTTCTTCCACATCCAGCTCCTTGTCATCGCCGAGCTCTGGCTCCGCCTCCTTCGCTTCCACCTCTTTGGTCTCCTCTCCTCCTCCAACCCCTTCTCCTCCTTCCTCATCCAGCATGAAGGGCTTCTTCTTCTTTTTCTTCTTCTTTGTCATGTTGGGGTCAAATATCATCTAAAGAAAGAGAGAAAAGCAGAGAAAAACAAAAACCTTTGCAACTGCTTCAAGGTGATTTGTTTGAGTTGGAGCCAAACTTCACATATTGAGTGAGGACCTGACAACTTATTTTCATAAAATCACGTTGCCTTGATGAATTTCAGCTCATTAATGAAAAAACACTAAGTGGATCTATGTTTGAAAGTCTGAGATGTTGTCTTTTAATCCCACACTAAAATGTTGCCACTCTCTTATCTCCACTTGTGTAATCTCACTAAAATCAGAAACATCTTGTTCAGTCCATGAATTTATCACATCAAGCCTGGACTGCTATAAATTTTATAACCTGGGTGTCCAGAAAAACGCTCTGAAAAGACTCCAGTTAAACCAAAACTGAGTTCTGATGAGAGTCAGGAGAGATCATAGTTCTCCAGTTTTAGCTTCCTGTCCCTAACATACAATTTTCTCAACAACCAAGCTCCATCTTCTATTAAACATTTTATTAATTTGTATTTTCCAAAAGGACTACTTTGCTGTCAAGACTGCAGGTCTTGTGCTTCTTAAAAGGGATCCCTGATTAGTTGTAACATTAGACTTTATTTGATAAACATTTATTTTAACTGTAAAATAAAGACTGTAAAAATACTGAAGGCTGTTTGGTTTTGTAAATTTTTTAAAATATATTTTAACACGGATGGAGCCATTTTACTTACACGCAAAGCATTCTGGGTAAATGATGACATCAACTAGGTCATCGGTGCGAGGCTGCTAGTGAGCTATATCCACCCTGAAGTTTAATCTTGGACAATATCTGAGGATCGACTCTTTTAAATGAAACCAGAGAGCATTGACAGAGAGGAGAAGGTAGAAATGACTCAGACTGTAACTGAAAATATGGATGGAGGACAACAGAGCTGCTTCATGGAAGAAGAACCTTAGCTTAGCCTGTTAGCCTTTGCGCTAGCGCCCACGCTATATTGCCTTATATGTATTAGCTTGGCGCTAGCGCAACAAACAAGCTAAACTTAGGTCCTCCATCCATATTTTCAGTTACAGCCTGAGTCATGTTTGTGTTCCGCTCTCTGTCATGTGGATGGAGGACCTCAGTGACGAGAGGAGAATGTGTAGCGCTGAGCTAATACATATATATGGTGATAGTGTCGGGGCTAACGCTAAAACTAACAGGCTAAGCTGAGGTTCTTCTTCCATGAAGCAGCTCTGTTGTCCTCCATCTATATTTTCAGTTNCAGGCTGAGTCATTTCTACCTTCTCCTCTCTGTCAACGCTCTCTGGTTTCATTTAAAAGAGTCGATCGTCAGGTATTGTCCAAGATTAACCTTCAGGGTGGATATAGCTCACTAGCAGCCCTGCACCGATGACCTAGTTGATGTCATCAGTTACCCAGAATGCTTTGCGTGTAAATAAAATGGCCCTGTCTGTGTAATATATTTTTAAACTTTTAGTTTGAAATTTATAAAAAATGAACATCCTACAGTATTTTGACAGTCCTTATTTTACAATTAAAGTATATGTTTATCATATAAAGTCTAATGTTACAACTAATCGGGGATCCCTTTAAGACTAGGCTCTTTTTTGGGTTGGGTTGGGTTTCCCTGAGCTAACCCTTTAATTATGCTGTCTTTAATTGCTCTATGCTCCTCGTTTGTATTTGCAAATATTGTTGTGTTGTTTTCCCAATAGAAACTAAACCCAGATCAATCCTTACTTTTGTATTTTCTTGTCCTCCCTAACCCGAGTCGTCTGAGGTAGAATGCTGCTCAACTTGAGTTTGGTTCTGCTGAAGGGTTCTTCCCACTGACACTAATGTTCTGATCAGGTTGGGAGATTGTGACAAATCTGCTGGCTTCCATAAATAAGTTTTACAAATTAATATTTCATAATGTACAAAAATGTATTATTATAATGGCTGTAATTAAATTAAGGATTTACTTGTTTTTTTTCTTTCATATAGTGCCTCGACGAGCTTAAACAGCACTGAATTTAAAATATCCCGTTATTAGAATTAATTAGTTGCCAATATGTGACTTGCTGTCATATTGGCAGCTTGAAACTCAAAGAGCATGCTCAACAATAATCCAATAATTTCACAATTATATGAGCAGTCAGCTCATATCTCAACATACTCACATTATGCAAGATATCTGTTTCTACATGACATGAATGAACTGATCGTCGTGAATAAAAAGATAAACGTCGATTATATTAAAAATGTCATCTCACAGAACCAGATCTGTCGTAACAGTTTAAAAATATGTATTTTGCGATATTAAGTTAATGTTAGGCGGTTTGAGACACTTTTTTTTAATAGAAATATACGTTAGAAATTTGTAGGAGCTAATGATGGTAGCTGTTAGCATAGCCGCGAATTTAAAGAACTAAGCTAATCTGTCAACTCCGAAATCAACCTGCGACAGAGAGGCTTCAGAAACAGTTATTAATCACGTAATCGTGTACCACAACGCTACACAGCAGTATGGTGGTAATTTTCTTGACAATACGCTGACTCGGGCCGCGGCTGCAGCCATGTGAGAGCTGCTGCTAGCGACTGTGGAGGGAAGCAGCGAGTGGAGCCGAGAGGCCCAAAGTCATCCTCAGATGTTTCGAGAACTTATTCCGCTTCAACCTCAATATCGACACAAATCAGACAACGGATAATCCCAGATTACCTACCTCGTCTCCTGACATGTTTGCGAAAGGACGAGGAAAAAACGCTGAGTCCAGTCAAACCAGTAGCTACTATTTTATCGCTCCAGCCGTTCCACACCTTTACGCTGTAATATTTCTTGCATCAGCGCTGGACCTCAGTGCGCATGTGCGAACCATCTAAATCCTGACGTACATCGCCTGCGACGGCGCGCCTTGGCCCTGAGTTTTGTTCAAGATCACAACGTTACAGATGTGAAAGTGTTGCTAAATTTGCTACAACCCAGGCATAATGCGTCAGATTTTACAGTATTGTTTGTTGTTTTTATGCTTTGCTCCTCTGTCTTGAATGTTAACAGGATAATTTGACGTTACCTTTTAACACATTATATATATGAAACATCTGGTTGTAAATGTTTTTTTTTTTATCTAACAGCTATTGTTTGTCTGGTGTGCATCATTACTGATCTAAAGACATATTTTTTGTTTGCTATGTCCAATGTTTTAATGGATTTTTTAGTTTTAACTGAGGAATAACAAACTTTTATTTTTCTTGTGTTTTAAGTATTGTCATGTTGATGACCTGATGAATGTAGCTTTTGAGCTGAAACACTACTACTGACTCACAATTTTAAAAAAGTCCTTTGGGAAAATTTGAACCTTGTAGAACCTTAATTTATACACGACAAATGGTCATTTATGGAATTTGTTCCAAAGGGCATATTTTTTCTTTATTACAGAATCATAAATTAAAATAAAAAAAGACTTACATATTGTTAAAAAACTGTTAAAATTGCTTTTATGCACATTCAGCAATACAGTTGGAGCTATGAGTCTCTGCAACCTTTATTTTGAATGTCACAAAAAAACATATGTCCAAATATGTCCTAAACCACAGTTTAGGACATATTTGGACACAAGAATTAGGCCTTGGGTCAGACCTGAAACCAAAAATATATATTCTAGGTTTGTTTAGGAGGGCCTCTGTGACCCAACTGGAAAAGTTGAAGGTGTCCAGGTTCAGGAAGGTCTGGGAATCTTTGCTCAGACTGCTGCCTTTTACTTCTTGTGTCATGGGAATGAAAACTATGGGCTTTTTTTTTTTTTTTTTTTTTTTTTTTTTTTAAAAAAAAAAAAAAAAAAAAAAAAAAACTAGGAGGCGGCAGGGC